AAGGCCCCTATAGTAGGCTGGCTTTGGGATTTTCTAAGGGGGGTGCATGGGTTTAGGGCTTCGGGCTTGCCTTCAAGCTTTGGGGTTTAGGGTTTAGGGCTTAATGTTAACGGCTGCCTTTAGGCTCTGGGGTGTGGGTTTAACCCCAAACACTAAACCCCAAAACCCTAAACCCTAGGGTTCTCGAAAGCCACGGCCGCTTCGGCTTCAGGATTTCTGCCCAAACCCAAAGCCCCACCAAGAAAAGGAACCTCTCCATACCCCAACGGTGCATCGGTTTAGGGTTTAGGGATTAGGGTTGAGGCTAAAATCGAAATACCGCAAGAGCGGCCTCTACAGGGCTGTAACCTTCGAGACCTGCAATCCAGGACCGCCTCAATCCGAAGAGACTTAATGCCCGCGCCTGTGGGTGTGGGACACGCTCTTGGGCACGCCGGTGGTGCCGGAGGTGAAGAACCCTTGCAGCTGCGTGTCCTGCTCAAAAGATCTGAAAAGGTGGTGTTATTATGTTATCACTTGCTGTCCTTAATTTGACTGCAGTCAGTAACATCGTCCCATACTATATAATGCTCAATTATCACGACTTGCATCTATACCCAAAAGTATCACGTTTGGTGGGCTTTGTCGCATGTTGGAGAAAGCTCCCGAACCTGAACCCCACCCCAGGAGTTTCAAAGATCCGAGGAAATGACGGCGCTTGGAATCGAGCGTGTAGGGTTTATTAGCCCTAAACCCTAAGCCTTCAGGATTTGGTGCTGCGGCTTATGGCTTCGGGTTGGGTTTAGGCTGCGGTCGAGGTAACTCGAAACCTTCCATAACTGCAGGACAAGTTCACCTGCACTACAGGAGCCAAGAGTCCTAGATAAGCAGCTTCTGTCGGCTCCGTGCTTGGCTTTCCTGGTAGCTCAAGCCTCAGGGTTTAGGGTTTAGGGTTTAGGGTTTAGGGTTTAGGGTTTAGGGTTTAGGGTTTAGGGTTTAGGGTTTAGGGTTTAGGGTTTACGGTTTAGGTCAAACAGGGTTTTGGGCTTAGGGAAAAGATCCTGCAGGCTTGCCTGTGAATCGGAGTACTGCACGAGGCTTTCCTATGCCCCAAAATCGCTCGGTCGCGAAGCTTGGACGCCTAAGCCGATCCTAAACCTCCCTGTAAGCCGTAAAAACCCAAACCGTGAAATTCTCAGCTTCAAGAAAGAGAGTGGGCCCTTATTTCAAGCCCGGGCCCTCAATTTGATAGGAGCATCGGCGGCAGACACAGAAGGGGGGTAGGGGCGGATGTGGGGCTGAGGTTTGGGTTTGGGCTTCAGGGCTTTGCGTTGTAGGAGCTCGGATTTCGGGCCTGGGGCCCCCTGACAAGTCTCGAACCCTGAACTCCACACCCTCAACCCTAAACCCCAAACCCCCAACCCTCCAACCTAAACCCTAAACCCCAAACCCTCCACCCAAACCCGCAACCCCAGACCCTCTAAACCCTCAACCCTCAAATTTCGACCCTCGGGTTGGTCCTCCTTGACAGGCCTTGCCTGAAAGGTTTTGCCATCACCCCGGTAGAGCTCGGTGAGGGAAAGCTGCTCGAGGTGCGGGTCGCTGAAAGCACCGGGATTTTCAAACCTGGCCCCAAAAGTTTAGGGTTTAGGGTTTAGGGGGTTTTGGGTTTAGGGTTTATAGGGTTAGGGCGGTTAGGGCGGGTTTAGGATGTCCGCCGATCTGCGAGACCGGGGTTCAGGGATTCGGCCGGTTTTGAATTTGCCGGGAAATTACCGGCGAACATCGAAAACAGCCTCATGACATCCAAAAGCTAACTTTAGGTTTTCCGATGTCCGCCCGATACTTTTCGATGTCCGCCGGATATTTTTCGATGTTCGGCACGCACGGACGGACAGACGGACGGACGGACGAGGTAGAACGCTTAGTTGTAACTTTTACTTTCTCTTAGATTTGACTTTTCTGCTTTTTCCACAAAACAGCTTAGTTGTAACTTTTTCGTCTTAAAAAACCACGAATCTTTGCAGAGGGTGGCAAAACATGCATCTTGCTTATGACTTTGTTTGCTCTATTTCGGAGACTGCGATGATGGGGCGAAAGGTTCCTGCTCGGTGTACTCTTTAGGGTTTTTGTCTTCGGCCAAAGGTTCCTGCAGGGTTTAGTCCTTAAGGTTGTCGTCTTCGCCCAAAGGTTCCTGCGGGGTTTACTCTTAGGGTTGTCGTCTTCGGGTGTCTGCGGGGTTTACTCCTTAGGGCTTTTCGTCCTCAGGGTTTTCCTCGGCCAACGGTTCCTGCTGGGTTTGCACTTCAGGGTTTTCGTCTTCGGCCAAAGGTTCCTGCAGGTTTACTCCTTAGGGGTTTTCGGCTTTCGTTCAAGCTTCGTGCTGGGTTTACTCCTTAGGGGTTTTCGTCTTCGGCCAATGGTTCCTGCTGGGTTTACTCCTTAAGGTTGTCGTCTTCGGCCAAGGTTCCTGCGGGCGTTTACTCCGTAGGGTTTTCGTCTTTCGTACAAGCTTCGTGCTGGGTTTACTCCTTACTGTAGGGTTTTCGTCTTTGGCCAAAGGATGGGGAGGGGAGGGGGGGGAGGGGCCGAGCTCTGCTTCCCACTGCTGTGCAGCAAGCCTGGATGCAGGAAAAGTTACATCCAAGAAAAAAAGAAGTTACATCTAAGAAAAAGCAAAAGTTACAACTAAGCCCGCTACCGACGGACGGACGGACGGACGGCCGGCGGGGTGGGCGGGCGGACGGACTGACGGACAGCGGACACGGCCTTCGTTTACCGATGTGATGCTTTTTGATACGTCGACGGACGGACGGACGCCTTCGATTATCGATGTCATGAAGTCTTTTGCCAATCTCCGACTACAGTTTCGATGCCGTGAAATGTGTGTAGATGTCATCTTTAAATGCTATGGAGTATGTTTCCAATGTCCGCGAGTCTTTTTTAGATGTCCCGTCGTGCAATCGCTTTTAATTTGCTGGCATCTTCCACAGGAGACAGCGAAACAGCACCATGACACCACCAACAGCAACAGTAACGTTTCATCAGCGCTTGCGTAACCACACGACCTCCAGCACCAGCACCACCACCACCACCACCATTGCCACCGTGACCACGACGACGACAACACCACCACCACCACCACCACGAGCGACTAGCAATAGCAACAGCAGTTTGACAGATGAGAACTGAGCCAAGAAAAAACCAAGTGCCGCCAAGAAACACCCAAGCGATCGCATGAATCTTGGCACTTGCCCACGCAACCTTCCGGCCAGTGCCCTAAGCCGGAAACCCAGAAACCCACCAAACCACGGGCTCTGTGTGCGAGAGCTCAGAGTCCATCGGTCAAGGGCTACCCAGAGAGCAGAAATACTCCTTAAATAAGGAATTATAGCTTAAATCATAATATGTTTGCCCCTTATACTTTAAGCTCTATTCCTTCTTATTTAAAGTGTATTTGGCTCTTTGGGCTACTGGTGAAAGGTTCAGGTTTCTTGGGCAATGACCTATCTTTTTAGAGTTTGGGTTTTGCAGGATCCGGGGTGCCTAGAGTTGATGTAGGGATATAAATAATTACCAATATCATTTTGGGGGATCAGTAGAATTATGGTATAATATACCCCAAGACCCTATTCTAATTGTTAAGGCCTCTATAATACGTCTTCGAGGGTTTCGGCTTCAGGTTTTGCGGTTGAGGGTTTCGGTGGGCACCAGGTTCGGGAAGCTCGAGGTGACGAACCTGTTCTGCATGGCTGCTCTCTTGACAGAACAACCGAATGCACCGGATGTCAGAAATTAGAGTGGCTTTGGGGGGTAGGTTACGGTCAGCTTCTATCAGGGAACCTACTATGGTAAAAGCTTGTCGTATTGTCTTCGTGGTGTCACTTTTGACGCCCTTGCAAGCACAGACACTCGGATGCACGGATGGATCTTCAACTCCATAATATTGGTGCCTTCTTCATTTCGACGGGGTTATTGGCGACCTTATATTCAAACCGAAAAGCAACGCTGCACCCTTTACCCTCAACCCTACTGAAAGGATCATGGGACTTAGTAAGTAGGGTTATAACTAAAGTAACTATACTTATAACCCCAATTAGGGGACTTATAACCTTACTTACTAAGTCCCGTGATCCTCCTAAACCCTAAACCCTAAACCCTAAACCCTAAACCCTAAACCCTAAACCCTAAGCCCTACTTACTAAGTCCCATGATCCTCCAAGTAAACACCCACATGCCTGGCCAAGGAGAGTGCCAAAGCTGCTGCTGGCGATGAGGAGACGGCTGGTGCCGCGTTCGAAGAGTACCTGGAGCCTCGGAGGCCAGAAAACTTGTTGGGGGAATTTATGGGGTTTAGGGTTTAGGGTTTAGGGTTTAGGGTTTAGGGTCTAGGGTTTAGGGTTTAGGGTTTAGGGTTTAAGGTCTAGGGTTTGGGGTTTTAAGGGGTTCCTATTTTGGGATTTACACCTCAGGGTGTTCTTTTAAAGGGATCTGTAAGGGTTCCAAAAGAGTTCTATGAAGGTTCCAATGGGGAATCTATTGGGGATTTGGGGCTTTCCAAGGGTTTCGGGTCTCGTAGACAGAACACAGAGCCTTTGCAGCTTCGGCTTAATAGGATAGGTAAGGTTTGAGCAGGTTGTTTGGTTCATAGAGCCTAGTCCAAATCCAGCGCTCGATTAGGGAATATTGGCCTGTCTCGGGATTCCCCCTTGAGCCCTGAACCCTGTATGCCCACTAGAACTCTTGTAGAACTCTGACAACATTTACGGGTGCAAGGCGTAGGGTTCTACAGCTTCTAATCTTCCGGTGTCCCGAGTGGCCGTTGAAGGGCCTTAGGCTTTTGGGCTTCGGGGTTTTCCAGCTTTTCCTGTCTGTGGGGTTGAGGCCCGGCTTGGGAGTGAAAGGGTGGAGTGTTTTGATGTTGGATATACGCATGCGGCGTATGATTACTTGCGACACTAAGATGAGATTCTCCTGAGCCCTACACCTAGAAACCCTAACGCCGTAAATTGCCGGAGCACTCTTCCAGCTTCAGCCGGTGGTTCAGGCACACCATCTTGGCTCGTGTCGCGGCCGCTGCCAAAAACAGGTCCTGGGCATGTGCTGGGGTTGAGGAATTCGGGCGTGGGAAAATTCTAGAAGTTCTTCTTGCTGTCCTTACGTGTCTTGGCTCTACTGATCGAGCTCATGTTCTGGCTGCCTCGATATTGCTCTGCTGACAGTGTAAGCAATATGAGCTGCCCAACCACGTTCATTGCACGTTTACTTCCCACTGCCCAGATGTTGATGCTCGCAATAGACTCCCAGTATCGCTGCTGCCAGTGTAACTAGCACTAGTGGTGGTAGTCGTCATAGCAACGATAGTGGAAGTGGTAGCAGTTGTGGTGGCAGTAGTTGTAGCAGCAGTAGCAGCAGCAG